TTTTTCTGCATCATCTTTAACCTCCAACCTACGGTCCCTAAAATGATGCAACTTTCTTAAATAAAAAAGGGGCTCAATTCTTAGTCCTTTAAGCCAAATTATGAAGCTTAATTCCAATATATTATTTAATTAATAGGAGATAATATTGAGCCCTTTCTATGCCCGAGTGAAGAGAAATGGGGAATTAGAGTGATAAAGGATTATATGTGTTGGGTTTGGAGGCACTCCTATTTTTTTGAGATAGTCTGCCATTGAAACTGGAGCTCCGATTGGTTAGACTGGCTGGACAGCAAGCTCCAGGATCCTCCTGTGTCCACCTCCCCGGTGCTGGGATTACAGGCACGTACCACTACATCCTGTTTTTTACATGGGTCCTAGGGATCCAAACCCAGATCCTCATGCTTGTGTGGCAAGTCCTTTACTGGTTGAGCCATCTCCCCAGTCCTTCTAAGGCACATTTCTTTAAAATTTTTTAAATTTATTTTTATTTTATGTCTATGAGTGCTTTGCCTGCATTGTATTATGTGCACCATTTGTGTGCAATGTCCGCAGAGGCCAGAAGAAGGAATTGGCTCCCCTGGAACAGGAGCTTTGAATAGTTGTTAGATACCATGTGGGTGCTGGGAACTGAACCCAGGTCCTCTGCAAAAGTAGACAATGTTCCTAACCACTGAGTCATCTCCCCAGGCCCCACATTTTCTTTACATTCCTATTCCTAGACAAATTATTTTTTCTTTTTAATTTCTTGGGAAGGGGCTAGGCCTTGGAGTATTCTGGAAAGGAGTCTGTATAAGTCTAGCAAGAAAAGAGACAATAGTGGTCTTCAAGCTGAACCGATCGCTGTTAATCACATTCAGCTGCCTGGAGTTCCCAGGGTGCAGACCTACTAGCTTCTCTGTCTCGTGAGTGCTGGTTCCCATGTCCTAGGGTCAACTTTCAGTAACCAGGCTTAATTCTTTTGTGAACAGTAATGGGCTCACATCAGATAATGGTGTTCTCAATCATAGCATGATTCAAATAGCTCCTTGGTGATGTTTTATTGTGAACCATAGTTTTCATAGAGGATGTAAATTTAAGATGTGAGGTGGGGTGCAGGATGTGGTCAGCCCATCAAAGCAAAGCTCAGTGGAAGATCAGAGGGTTCTATTATTCCATTATAGGTACCCAGGAGTTCAGTGATTGATCTATGGCTCTAAACAAGGGCTCCACTAGGAAGTTAGTATTTCAAATCATTTCTGAGTTGAAAATAAATTAGAAGTCGCCTCTGTTGCATGCTGGTGCCTCTGCCTCATCTCCCCATTCAGAGGCGCTGACTCTTCCTTCATTCCTCTTCAGTGTGCCTCTGGAGAGAGGGAATGGGGACTGTCCCTCCCCCCCTCCCACACACGGCGACAGGTGGGGAAGTGGCTTCTTACCTCCCTCATCATCAACTTTCCTCTGGATCCTGTGAATTCCTCACCTGTCTTGCCCTATGGCTCTTCTAGAATGAATGAGGGCTGAACTGACCTCGTGGACACCCAGTGCAGGTACTATGAAGTGTTCAGAATTTTGTCTGTTTGCACTGAGAAGCTAGTCCAATTGCAGAGAATGGAGACCCAGAAACATATTTTCAAAGGTCAGTACTTTGCGTAAGTGAAATCTGAATCTCTGACATAGAAACATTCACTTCCTGTGTCTCATTCTGGGCCATTTATCTCAACAAATGTATTGTGTAGGGCACTGTAGCCCTGCAACTAGAGATATCCACAGCAATGGCAGTAGGACTTTTGTGTGTTTGTTTGTGCAGGTGCATGTAGAGGCTAGAAGTCAACCTTGGCTGTCATTCCTCAGACACTGTCCACCTTGGTTTTTGCAAAAGGATCCCTCACTGGCCTGGAACTTGTCATGTAGTGGGCTCCAGGGATCCACGAGTTTCACTGGCCTGGAACTTGTCAGCCAGTGGGCTCCAGGGATCCACGAGTTTCTGCCTCCCCCGTGCTGTGATTACATGTGCATACCACTACTTATTGATTGCTTGATTGATTGAATGTGGGTTCTGGAGACCAAACTCAGGCCTGCAAGTACATTACTAACTGAGCTATCTTTCTGCCCAGGACTTCTATTTCAGAAGGAAAAAGTTACTTTTAAATTTCCACAAAGGCTTAATATAGGCACAGGGCTGAGGAACAGACAAGGGACTGAGGGGGTGGCATTCCACACTCGAGCAAAGTCCAGGGGACGTTCACAGCACCAGAAGAGGCAAAATCACCGCCTTGAAGGATAAAGAAATGTAATGGTCACGTTAACCTGGGTCTCACCATGGGTGGTGGAGAGCAGTGGAGCAGGATTCGAAGGCAGCTCCTCTGCTGAGTGGAACTCAACTGGCTGAGTGGCCTTGAGTAAGTACTTAATCTCCCTTCTTTCTGGCCTTTACTGCATTAGAATCCATGTCCCTGGCAAAGGCATTGGTAGCTCTGATAAGGTCCTGACTCAACTCTGTTCTCCTCAGCTTGGTAACAAACAGAAAATTCACAGGCAGCAAGAATCAGCCTTATCCTTTGGGTTGATGCCCATCTGTCAGAAATTTGACAAAATTGTGTTCATACTACCAAACTCTCAACATAGATCCATTTATTGTGTGACACACACAATTTATGCCATCCACTGGAGGAATGTGCCTCTGAAAGCCCTCAGTGTCAAAAAGTATATATAATGGAGGGGACACTACTTGTACTGCCTGGCACTTCTTTCCAAACCCTTGTCTCCAGTTCTGGAAATGATAGCTTCCCAAATACACTAGTGCTTCATGTTTTGGTTAGAAAACTCAGTTTTCCCCCTCTCTGTGTACATCTGCTTGTAAATTTTTTAAAAAAGTACATCTATAAATAGTGTTGACAAGTTGAAAAAATGGTTAAGATACTCAAATATTTGAAGTAAAAAAAGATGTATTTTCATGGACGGGAAAGAAAAAAACAAGCTCTGTGAATCAAGCTATGGGGCCATTCACAAAGTGTAGCCTTTGTTTTTTTCTAACAGTACCTCTAGGAGCAGTGTATGTTGGGGGGGTGGTTTACTGCCACTTTCATAAAGTTCAGAATGCTTCACAATGTTTTTTCTCTCTTAAGACTGTAGAACTCTCATGACGAGTTTATATTTTTGAAGATACATGTTTTGTCTCCTGCCTCTTTCTTTGGGGAATTCTTTGAATGAGGAAACACTGCAGCCTCCCACCTGCAGAGTCTCAGCGATGGAACTCACAGTACAAACCTTGAATTCTCAGTACTCTTCATGGGTCTGTACATGTGTCCTCATCAGCTTCATCTTGGCTTTTTGGCTTTTCTATGCCACAGTCCTAACCTCCTTACCCTGAATTGACAAGGTGAGCTGCTCAGAGGTTATCACACTGGGTCAGACCCCAGGTGTGTGCCATGGAATGGACAGGGCTGTTCTTTTCATAGTAATCTACTGAAAGATGTGGAAATTGTTCTTTGAAATGGCACGGTGCTTCATAATGAATTCATCTCATTCTGATCCTGGGACTCTGAGGAAGCAAAACATTAAGCAACATCCTTGCTGCTGAATGGTAGGTCACACCTACATCTTCCCAGCCTCTCTTCCTACCTATAACCTACTTCGAATGTTTCCAATTTTCTGTTGCTGTAAAATGTTTGCAGTAAGCAGAATACAAATTGGGCTTTGGCGTCTCTAGGCCAAAGTCTGAGTCCCAGCTCCACTATTTGTGAGTTGTGGAGTAGTGCACAAGTTGACTTGCCCTCTAAGCCTCTTTTGGTCAAAGTGTTGATGTTAAGCTTAAGTGAAATACCACTTCTAAAGTGAGCACAGACTGTAGCACGTAAAAAATGCTATCTGAAGGTATTAACAATCACCTTATCTGGGGCAAAGCAAGAATCCTCTTAGCTTCATGAAGACGGTCTTAAATACCCCAGTGGTCTTAAGGACATATGTGGACCGGTTGAGGACAGGAGTGGTTATATGAACATGCTTAGGTGCTGTGCTATGCCCTGGGTTCCACGTTCAGATCCCTGCAGCAGTAACCTGTGTGCTGGGTGCTCAGCTCCTCTGTGTGTTGCCCCTTAGACTGTGGGCCTTCACTGTGATTCCCGATTTGAAGCTAGACCTGAGACAACATGCTGGGTTTAGCAAAGACTTCCCTGATTACAGTGGGGGCAGAGGCAGGATAAGCTGGAAGTGGCGGAGTACAGAAGGGAAGGCTGAGATTCAGCACTTACTTGCCTTGCGTAAAGGGACAACTTTCTGTAAGGAGAGTCTAAAGTCAGGTAACTAGGCTCTTGTTTTTTTTTGCCCTACAGCCTATCTTTCTGGAAAGGTAATACCTGAGATCACAAGGCATTAACAGTTACAGAGACATGTACAAAAACATTATGCACACATGCAAGTTTTCATTTATTTCTATTCTGCCGTGTTTGCCTTTGATGGGAACATCTTTTTAAAAATATCTTGCTGCAGCACAACTGAAGCTGTTGTATAATCTCTCTGCTTGTTTAGTGTCTTCAAGAGCTAGGGAAATGACTGATATTTTCAGTTTCCAACTCTGAGAAGACAAGGCAGTATTGGAATGTCAAACTCACATGAATTCAAAAGCAGAGAACCAGAAAGTCCCACTAAAGCTAAGTAACGTCACGGTGCTGGGGACAGCAGCAGACTTGGTACTTTAGCCACCACAGAGCTGAAATGTGGATGTGACACTATTAAAGACTTAGTCTGATATTTGAGGGGAAAATCTCCAAAGCAGAAAGATCATTGTAAAAGGACTCATGAATCTGTACCAATAACAAGGAAAACAACTTTTGGAAAGGGTCATTCCTGCCGGCTGTAAGTTCACCACACTTAAATCATGCTGCCTTTAGTGCTTGAGAGGGTAACATGGGGAGAGCCAGCCTCCTTAGAATATCACCATAAGAAACCTCGAACGAAGGCAGGAAGGCTAACTGCACAAAATTCACGGAGTAAAACACATACAAATGACAGGACCAGCAGAGTTAGAAAATGTCCTACAATGTGTATTTTATTCCATATCATTATACAGTGTTTACATGTACTTATAACTCTTAAGAAAATGCTTTTCTTTACCAATTACATATGTAGTGCCTAATCTCCATGTCAGAGTGAGAGTCCACATTGAATGCTAGAGCTGGAATGAGCGGCAAGTGTGTCAGTTGGAAAGGAATGTGGCTCTAATGAATACAGACAAACGAAATCCAGAGTCTCCTCTTGCAGCAAAACTCAAGGCAAAATAAATTAGTGTTGGACAGCAGTCTAAATTGTACATTATTGAACAAAAGACCCTAAAGGGGCCATTTTGTTTAAAGTAGCACCAATCTGCAGCTGATTGTCTCCAACATCAATCTCCCTAGTGACCCACCATTGGCACTCTGATTGAAATTCTGTTTTCATGAGGATTCCTACACTGGCTAAGCAAACTTCATGGCTAAACTCTACAAAGTGTAGCAATGTCAATCTGGGAAATGGCACATTTAAATCACGAGTGCCCCAATATGCGCTTGCATTTTTGTGTCTTTCCCAACCCCCTGCCCTAGCTGGTTCTTTGCAGATGTTTTAGTGACAGTGGTAGTGACAGTGGAAGAAGTATATAAAAATGTACTCAAGGGGTTTCATGGTAAGCAGGTATTTAAAAACAAAATGAAACAACAAAAAGAAAGACTGTGGCCGCAGGTAAGGAGGTTTTCACATGTTGTTTAACTCCAGTAAAGTCTGATCCAGCATCTGATGCATACTAAGGTTTTCTTCTTTGGCATGAGCCACTTTCTCTGTGGTGGGATTAGAAAATTAAGTCATGAATAGCTTCGTTTCAGACACAGTAGTGTTTTGTACATTTAACACACAAACTTCAATCACAAACACAGCATAAAATGATTAGAACTCTGCATGCTTTTTAAGACATCACTCATTTCCAGACAAAAATCCAGAAGGAAGACAGCTCTGACTTAAAGGAGCCCCAGACACAGCTGTTCTCAGTGGCTGGGTGCACTTGCACTAGCAATCTACCCCGAGGATGAAGAGCAGGGTGTGTTTAGTGAAGGCTCACCCACCCTGTGTCATGGGAACAAGGGAGGGGTAAAAACCAAATACAGGTGCAGCACTGTTACACACACTGGAGAAGTTAATATCAGCAGAGACTTCTGAGTTGCAGGCAGTTAAAAGTCTGGGAGTCATGTTAAAACACAACCTCACAGAAAACAAAGATGGCATAAACAGGGTTCTGATCACTTTTAAAATGATTTATTTCTGCTGCTCAGAGTTATCAAGTCTCGTGCACACTTCATTAGGACATTCTCTCAATGTTTGTATAGTATCTTATTTCCTGTTAGCATTACATTCTCATCAGACTCCAACACTGTTAAACCAAACAAAGCATACCTTTCAACCAGGGACTTCTGATGAGCTCCTGCTTTCAAAAGCTATTTTGCCCAAGCACAGGTACATTGAATCATATTTCAAACACTATACCAGATATGAAGATGTTAAAAATTTGTAATATATATGTAAAGCAGGACTCACAGTTGTTTGAAGAAATAGAAAAAAAAATTGGGGGAGGGGTTTCCTCATTATTAATCAATCAGTTCAAAGAAGAGGACTTCCTACTACAGAGAGTGCAATTTATACCAGTCAATTCAGACTGGTATAAATAGTTTTACATGTACATAAAAGATCATAGAAGCTGTTTTCGGTTAAAGAGAATTTAATCCAGATATACAGAGGAAGATGCAGGCCAAGCCAGCCTTCCAGCCAGTCCCTTTCCTTAGCATTTCTGCAGAAAGCATTTTCAACCCTGTGAGTCGATGGCTGGGCAGTCTTAGACTTTCTGCTCTTGGGCTCTATTCCTAAAATTTGGCCCACGTTTTTCCACACTTAAGTTTTTAATCCTCATTGAGGGCCAGCTTTAGTTCGTTAGTTAGGCGGCGGTTTTGCTCAAGTTGATGGTAGAGTTGATCTGGACAGGTCAGCAAACGGGTTAGCAGAAAAGAAGAGGCAGAAGGAAGAGAGGTTAGCTAGACCTGGTGAGAGAGAGAGTTAACAGACTGGAGAACACAGAGATATGGCAGGACAGCAACAGTCTACCCTTACCCCGAAATCCTCTGTCCTATGCCTCGCAAGGGCGTATGGTAACAGGCCTTGCAGAAATGGGGGGAGCAGAGGAAAAAGAAGGTGCACTATGCAAGTCAACATTCCTCTTGTACCTCATTAAAACCACCCTGTGATCATGTGTGATCTGGGGCAACACATTTTGGGACTGAGGCCAGTCCAGGTCATCCATGCCTTGTTAGGGCTGAGTAGAGATTCTAGGCAAGCCTCTGCCCAGTCTGCTTCTCCCCACTCTCCCGAGCCTGTCTTCTCAGCTCAGGGTACAGACTTTCCTCTCAGGTGATGCTGGGCCAGTGCTATCATTTCTACCACAATGACATGTTTTGAAAGGCACAACTAAGCTCCCTGCTCATCCCCTAGGACATGGTACAAAGTCTGGACTCTCCTCTGAATTTGAATGTATGCTACAGCACACAAGAAAGCAACAAACAAGCAAACAAGAAGCAACTCTCTTTACTCAACCCTGCTTCAGAACTTACCTACTTACTTTAGGTTAGAGTATTCAGGCTTGGTACTGATGGTGTTCATAAAATAAATACAACCAGGCCAGTGAGATGACTCAGTGGGTCAAGGTGCCTGCTGCTGAGCCTGATAAATGGAGTTCCATCCCCAGGTCCCACATGGCAGAAGAGACCTGACTTCTGCAAACTGTCCTCTGACCTCCACATGCGTGCCATGCTCTGGACTGTGTGCCCCCACCAAATAACTAAAATGGGAAAAAAAAATCCTCAAACATATACATGGAGTCTAGTATAATAAAATAGTCTTCACGTACTGACACTAGATTTACCCAGGTGGTAAGGAAGTCTACCACAGAAATTAGTTTGTGTCTGATGATGCAGGGGACACCAAATAACAAGCAAGAGACTGGTACACACGAGAAAAAGGCTGGGAGCTGTGTGACTGGGAAATGAAATGAAGTTAGATTTCTCCCAAACGGCAGGTGGGAAGATGCTACACTCATCATATTTGCTGTCTTGCTATGCGTAACACCTGCCTTTTCTGCTTTACTCATCTAAAATTTCTTAATATTCAAAACCAGTCAGTTGTCATCTCCTCTAGGTAGCACATCCAGTTAGACTTTCTGTTCTCCATTGGCTCAAAACATGGTGTCTTCCCATTCAGACTCAACTCACTCATCTGCATGGTTGGCTTATAGAGCGCAAAGAACACGTGAGCTCAGCTCTCCTCTCACCCCTCTACTTTCCAGTGCCTCCCAAATGGCATACACTTAGAAGCTGCGTAACAGAAACCCTATTACTACATTTATACTTTTGCTATGACAAACTGTCACCATGAGCAGACAGGATGTTCACTGTGAGCCCAAATGTTTGGCCACCTGGAATAGAAGAACACTGGAGACACCCTAGCGAATACAAAGAACCACTAGGAATTCTGCTTAAATGTCAGTGCTCCCCACCTCAGCCTCCTTTGGGCTTCATTCCTTTCAACTGCCATGGAGTTGGTATACTGAGGTGACCTATGGGCAGGGACCAGATGCACTTGGAAGTGTTTTCCCTCCTATTCTGCACAGACCCCAGTTGTCTGAGGCCCCAGTGCTCAAACTCAGCAATGCTGTTGTTTTGGTCCAACTGAGACTCTTATATGGGCTGGTCCTTGCTTAACTTGAAGCCTGGACTTCATCAATTTCTTGATAAACGCAACTTGTTGTTTATGCCCTTTATGCACACAACCTTCTTAGGCTACTCGGGAATCTGCCTTCCTGACCCATTCATTTCCATTTCTCTTGTAGCAGATACTCATACACAGTGTGAAAAGTCTCTGGGAGGCTTTATACGAGATGTGTACTTCTAGACTCATCTGCTCGGAACTCTCAGCCTTGTCATTTTTTTTTTTCTGTGGCAGGATTACTCACAGAAAGGTCATTAAAAAGAACAAGGCAGATGCCGGGCGTGGTGGTGCACACCTTTAATCCCAACCCTCTGGAGGCAGAGGCAGGTGGATCTCTGTGAGATGGAGGCCAGCCTGGTCCACACAGTGATTTCCAGGAGGGCTGGGACTAGGGAGACCCTGTCCAAGAAAAAAAAAAAAGCAGGAATCACGGTAGAAGTGGGCTCAAGGAGCCACAGGCAAAGAAAAAACTCCAGAACCTTTGCTCTGTACTTGTCAAGGGAGAGACATTGTCTGGATCTTAAAATTAGGCTCCACTATACTGTTACTAAAATACTTTAATTCACAGACTTTATTTTAAAAGCAAAGAACAAACAACAACAAAAAACCCAGCATCATTTTTTTTTTTTGAAGACTTCAGAGTGATCGACTGTTTTCAGAGTTTGCCCAAATTTATTTGAGGATAGTAGCATGCCAGCCCTAGTGGCTAACAGATGCCATACAGAAACAGGTGAGGGTTAGCTATGCTTAAAACACAAGAGAAAACAGCGAGAATGTTTAGGAAGAAGGGTTATTGGGCACTAAGAAGCTAGAGTCAACATCCTTTTAAAATTCTAATTCTGAAAATTAAAAAAAGAACCAAAACACTGAATTGCTGTTTGTGACTGAAATCATACTCTATATTCTGAGTAATTTCCACCAACCATGATTTGGAAGGGGGGGGGGTCAACTCTAATGGCTCTGTTTTTAAAATGTTCATAAATTGGAGGGAAAAAAGCCACCATCTTATATAACATCTCTAGAATATGTGAAGTTAAAAACACAAAAATAAACCCTGACTCAAATATAGCCATATTTAGAAACCCCGAGATGTCATTTTTGTGATAAAAATGAAGGTACCTATGTAAAGAATACACTTTATAAAAAAAGCCTCAACTCATCTTTGTACTATACAAAAACCCAGCATAGAAGCAGGAAAACGGGTAAGAAGTTCCAACCTTAGCTAAGGAACTATTGGCAGCTGATCACTGCTGGGTAAGGGAGATTTGTTCTTTTAAGGGAGTCTTGCTAGATAGGATGACCAGGCTTCAGCAGATGGACTCACAACAAGGGACATTTAGGGCCACAAACTTGACTTGATAGGCCTTAACATAAATATGACAGAACTCATGAAATCCAGCAGGGAGGTTATGGAGGGCACAGATAGGGGAGGGAGTCTAAATATGATCAGGATGTTTATATAAAATGCACAAAAATTCAGTAAGAATTTTTAAAAAGACAATAAATAAACCAGGACTTAATGTTTGAACCCTAGTCTTCACCTTCCACAGTATGTAAAATTCCTAACCACATGGGGCCTGGGACAGCCCTGCAGCTAGACCTCATAGGCTTTTAATTTACATAGCCATGTCCTCTCATGCAGGCCCATCTCCTCATCTCCTCTGTGGCACAGAGAGGGTGCCACACCCCAAATTAAACCTCTGGCAAAGGAACATGTTACACAAGCCAGATATTCTGATTCCCACTGTCTACTGTGTAGAGGTTCTGAACTCAAAATCATCACAGTTCCCAAAACCGAGCCTCAATTCATCCTCCAGAAACCAAAACTCAGAAGGACACAGGCCTGGGTATCATTTTTTAAAGTTGTATAAGAAACTGCCATCTTAGAAACTCCATTAGTATATAATGTTCAGAAAAAAAATTTACCCTTAGATGTATGAAGCAGAATTGTAGTTTTATTCCGTGTTGAGACGAAAATGTCAATAAATAAAGAGTAAAAGAATAGCAAACAGAAATAGCTTACAGTGTTTATTTTACACTGGGTGAACAGCTTCTGTACAATAGAAAGCACAGTGCAGGCCTGGCCCTAAGGTGAGTGCTAAAAGAGAACCAGGGTCAGCTGGACAGCAGACAGATGCAGAACTCAGAGAGGTGGGATATCCAGCTTGATGAAGGAGTCTTGGGACGAATGAAGCAAAGAAACTTATCTGCGTGAAGACAAAAGATAGGAGAAAAAGAAAAAGTGGCACAATGGGAAAAAAAAAGAAAAAGAAAAAGAAAACCAAGCAGATGAGTAGTAATAGAAAGGCAAGCAAGCATTAGACATCTAAAACCCAGTGTCAGCTATACCCTGGAGGAGAGGCCATTCTTGGCCACTAGTGCCTAGACCTGAGGCTATCATGGGCCAACCTTGAGGAAGATCTGTGAACAGAATTTTTGTCTTTTTGAGACAGGGTCTTCCTGTAGCCCCAGCTGGCCTGGAACTCACTATGTAGACCAGGCTGGCCTCAAACTCCCAGAGATTCATCTGCCTCTGCCTCCCAAGTACTGGGATTAAAGGCATGTGCCACCATGCCCAGCCCATGAACAGAATTTAAAAACAGGTTTTAAGTTAACCCCCACCCACCTTTGGGACCTGTTACCATATTCTGAGTTCTTCCATATAGCACTGGGGACAACTGGAAACAGATGATCTGTCCCTGCTCCTCATTTACAAATGAGAGGGGAGACAAGGCATGCACTTGTTTCCATGGTGATAGCCAGGTCACTAAGGGCTGTTTTACTTTAGTGTGGGGGTTCTATATCCTCCAAGGCAGCAGGAACATTTCACACCCCTCAAGCTGTTGTAGTTCTACATGGTTAGTGGAATGCCAGGTGAGCCTGGAAAGTGACACTGCCAACTTTGATGCAATCCACTGTGGTTTTAGAGTGAAGAACCCTCTGCCAAACACTCCAGGGGTTAGAAATTCAAGAGGCAGATAAGTGTGGTTAGTAATATGTAAATTAGCTGTGTATGTTTAGGGATCCTCTCAGGAGAACAAGGTTAACCAATGCTTACCCCTCACAAGGGTGAAATCTGAACCATTAACTTCCAAAGTCATAATGTATAATACAGTTTATTTCTCACTTCTCAGCCATAGGTTGTAGCAAGTGTTTACTGTGGGGTATCTGAATTCCTTTCAGTATAAACATAGGAAATTAAAAGCTTGGTTCCTCAGCAGACCATTTTGCTCTTGAATTCTTAACAAGGAAGAGGTGGCTGTTTACAGAGCTGCTCCTTACACTGCACTGGGTCATGCCAATTTCCTTTTCCTCAGATCTTCAATAATCTAGTACTTTCAGAATTTCTTGAAATTCTCTCTCTCTCTCTCTCTGTTTTTATTTTTTTGAGACAGAGTCCCCAGCTGACAGAGAACTCACTATGTAGACCAGGCTGGTTTGATCCCATAGAGATCAGCTGACCTCTGCCTCCTGAGTGCTGGGATTAATGGCATACAACACCATGTCCAATTAAATTTATATTTTTAAATAAAAATGACCATATCATAGGAAGCAAATTGATATTTCTTTTTAACTTCTTGCACCATCGCCTTTGATTTTTACTTGAGTATGGTTTAACGTTTACAATTTTCAAACATTTATTTTTAAATATTTTATTATTTTTATGGGTATGTGTGTATTGTCTGCATGTAGGTAAGTGCACCCTTGTGCAATGCCCATGAAGGACAGAAGAGGCTGTTGGATCCCCTGGAACTGGAGTCATAGACAGTTGTTAGCTGCTATGTGGGTGCTGGGATTTGAACCTGGGGTCTTCTGCAAGAACAGCCAGTGTTCTTAACTGCTGAGCCATCTCTCCAGCCCTTATTGCCTGCATGTAGGTAGTGCACCCATGTGGTGCAATGCCCGCGGAGATCAGAAGAGGCTGTTGGAGCCCCTGGGACTGGACAGTTATGGACAGTTATGGACACTTGTTAGTTGCCATGTGGGTGCTGGGATTCGAACCCAGGTCTTCTGCAAGAACAACCAGTGTTCTTAAACGCTGAGCCATCTCTCCAGCCCCAAACATTTATTTTTATTTTGTGTTATGAGTGGTTTTCGTGCACGTATGTAAGCGCACCTGTGTGTACAGTGCCCATGGAGGCCAGAAGAGGGCACTGGATTCCCTGAACTGGAGCTACAGATGGTTGTTAGCAGCCATAAGGGTGCTGGGAACCAAACCCAGGTCCTCTACAAAAGCAGCCAGTGCTGCTGTCCAACTGAGCCATCTCTCCAGCTCCTAGTTTAATGTTTTAAAAGAACAATACTCAGATCAATGGGAACAATCAAGATCTACATTTATGAAATAAAAGGATTCTGAAGAGACATGGTTTGCATGGACTAAATCTACTTGGCCTTTATATTAGCACAAGGTAAAATTAGTACAGTGGGTAAGTACTTTAGGTTATATGAGAGCCAACAGAAGGTGCAAAGATGGAGACCATGGAGTGAGAAGGAAGCCATGGTAAGTTCATCACACAAGTAAAGAGCGAAGGTGTGAGCTGGCAGGGCACATGAACATTTACATGGAAGTCATATCGTTGAGAGCGTGGTCCAGCTCCTCGCTGATGGCCTTGTACTTCAGTTTCTGAGCATACAGCTCGTCTATGAGCAGGAAGCAGAAGGCAGAGGTACAAGAACATGAAGAATGGTCAAGAGATGGAGGGTGAGCAAGGGTGGTACGGGCGCCATCCCGACATGGCAGCAAGGAAAAGGCCATGCATGAAGGGGTTGGTGCCGTAGCAGGTAGCCAATGCAGGAGGCGTGCATTTTGGTTTTAAATAAATTGAAACAAAAACAAAGAGAACAAAAACCCATTAGAAAGTAAAATGAGAAAGACTCAATACGAAAAGCACAACAAACAGGGTAGGTATACCAGTGAACTGTGTTAAACCCTAAAGACAACCGCAGAAGACTGTCTCTCCTCGTAGGTGATAGAACATCTTTTTATAGAGCTATTTTTTAATTACACTGGAGTAGTCGGGTACCTGCAGCTATAAACAATGGGAAAAAGATACCCAAAGGCAGTATTCTGCAAGTACAATTTAAAAGGACAGCTTATAATCCTTATCTAGCTCCACCTTCAAACCACCCACTTCCTGCCCAAACCAGACTATGGAATATTGATTTCTTGACGCACTTAAACTACTCTATGGTCTTCCCACTCAAGCTGCTTGTTATTATTCCAGGAGGTTTGAAAGCCTATCTTTATAGCCACACTTTTTAGCATGGTGTCAAGTCTGAAATTTGGTTTTTGTAATAATGTGGGGAGTGTTTCATGTTTTCCTGTATGTTGACACACTCTTGCACCTGTATCATTCTCTCTTCTCTCTTTTATTTTTTGAGACAGGATCTCACTGTGTAGCACTAGATAACCTGGAACTTGCTATGTAGATCAGGCAGGCCTTGAACTCAGATATCTGCCTGTCTCTGTCTGGCAAGTGCTTGTTACTAAAGGTGTGCACCATCATGTGTGGCTGTAACAATCTTGGTTATTAACAAATCTACCTTCAGTCCCTCTAATCCCTTCTCTTCTTCTGTAGTATGGTGGTTTTTCTTTTTGTCACAGATAACCCTTTATAAGCCTCAAAGCTAAACTTTGAGGATTTCTGTGAGACAGCATGGGTGCTGCTCAAGTACAATGTAAATACCTTAGGGGGAAAATGTTTTAAGCTCAAGATACAATGTCCTATTGATTCCTGCCCTCCACCCCTTCAGGATATAGAATATTTTGCTAATGAATAACGAAGAGACGTGAACTGGCTGCTGGCTGACCTCAAGAACTGAGGATTCAACGTCCAAGAGTTTCAGAACCACAGGTGAAAAACCCAGAGACAGTCAGTCGGGAAGCAGAAGAGCAAAGAGGCTATCAGGACGGATGCCCCCGATGATCAGATGATTGCTTTGTCAAGACAGTATTCAACCATAAGGACTAAATTTAAAATAATACTGAAGAGCTTACCTTCTAAGTCATCAATGCTTTTCTCCAATTTAGTCACTGACCTCTCTGCAAACTCAGCCCGAGTCTCAGCCTGTAATGATTTAATTCATTTCAGTTAAGGTAAGGGAGTTTCAGTTCCAGTAGCTTACAGATACAGGGAAAACCAAAGGCTGAACCTCCAGTGTGTCACCCCTGCCAGTAAGTGATTGCAGCTAACATGACCATCAACTCCAAGACTACCTCTGAATATGTGCCTGACTTGGACGGTGAAACTCCAAAACAATAGTGCCCTGACCAACTCCATGGAAACAGACTTAATCCAGTCGGCTTCATCCAAAGCTCTCATAACATTACCTCCTTCAGCTTGTCAGAAAGGACTTTGATCTCCTCCTCATATTTGTCTTCCTTCTGTGAGTACTGTAATTAGAAAGCATTCCAGATGTCAGGCTGCAGCCCTCACTCTCGCCTTCCAACACAAACAATGTGCCAGCCCAACCAACAGATGTTGGGGATCTCCTAGCAGGTAACAGAACCTCGGGTATCAAATGCCACATACTACAATGCATTCTCTGCTTTCTTGCCTATTGCTTTACATGGGATAAGAATAAGATAACGTATCCACTTGGCACTTCGTTTAAATTAAATGATGATTTAACCAGCATAACACATTCTGTTTATTTTTTTCTTCGCAAAATCTAGTACCCAATAATCTTTGGAAATTAGCCAAAATTTGCCCCTTGCTAAAATGCCTCCTATGTCTTTGTTTTCATCAGTAGGGTCTCTTTTGAACGGCTCTTAAAAAGATGCCTTCCCCACTCCATGTTCCTGGCCTACCTTCTCAGCCTGAGCCTCCAGTGACTTCAAGTTGTTCGTCACAGTTTTCAATTCTTCTTCAAGCTCGGCACATTTGCTAATGTTTCGATCAGAGGCAGAAAGGGTGGGAGACAAGCCAGAGGAACGAGAAGAGAAAAAAGGAGAGGGATGGGAAAAAATGAAAATGGAGTCCTAGAGACGAGGGGCTGCCTGAAAGTAGCCAAACCATCAGAAAAGAAAGCACTCAATTTTGCCGTGGGCATTGCCAATTGCAACCATGGAAAGGCAAAATCCAGCAACTCTGAGGTGTGATCATTTGACTTCTTACTTGGCCGTCCCTCAGAGCATTTATGAAGGGAAAAACAAAGAGCACATAAAGGACCAAGAGAAAGCACTTGAAGCAAGATATAAACAGCAGAGGGTATAGTGAAGGTACAAGTCATCACATCAAACCAACCAGTAGGCATCAGAAGCTGAAAGCTGCTTGAGTTGCAGTTAAACCTAAAAACCACACGTGGGCCATCAGTACCTTATCCTCTGCAGCCATTAATGCTTTCAAGGTCTGATCCATTATTCTTAATTGTTCTTCCAGCTGTCGAACTTGGCTGTTAGTGGACACAGGAAATGCACAAGGCCATTCACAAAATCAGTGCAGGTAAGGCATGCAGTGCCACACGCATTCAGACATTCCACACAGATCTTTTGTGTTCCCACACTTGTGGTTCATCCACATCACACTAAGCACAAAAGGAGCCTGGAGCTGAGATGAGTAAATGCAGCTGCCAGAAGGTCATGCTGTTTAGTACTGCTCTGCAGCACCCACACATGGCAGCAATGGCCCACTTACCCTTCTGAGAGCTCAGCCCTCTCCTCTGCACGTTCCAGGTCACTCTCAATGATGACCAGCTTACGGGCCACCTGCAGCAGGGCAAACAGCACATACACTATTGGCTTGTGTATTCTGTGTAGGGGTGTTTGGGGGGAGGTGGATATCACCTCCCACTAATTCCTGTCTACATTCCCGTAGAGTGGAGAGAAGCAACTCTCAGGAGTGTTGGCAGAGGAGACCAGGGCTCCAGAATGGTCAGTTACTCCCAAATGGAGTAGAGATACAGGCTAGCCAGATCAGTTCTTAGCATGACAGGAACATGAAATCTGCAATCTCAAAAATAGGATGATGAGATGGGAGGCATTTTACACTGAAAAGGCAGGGCACCCAAAATAAACCCAAGGACTACACCAGGCAGAATTCTGCATGGCAGAACTTTCTGTGGAGCCAGTGTAGAGGGCAAGAGAAGCTGGTGAGCTGACTGCCAGGTCAATTCTGTAGCCAGTAATGCAGACTCAGAGAAGAGTGGTGCTACTCTGAGGCAGCTCAAAACCAGAGGGTAGTTTCAGAACCACCATGATGAGCGAGAGTAAGGAAAAATGAGAACCTCTGGGGGAAAGCTAGAACTTTGATAGTCATTTCGGCTCTGTTACCACAGGTTGTTTTCATGTGGACATGAGCAGCGGCTAATCCATTTGTGAGCCTGTGCTGACAAAGATTCTATCACCCTGGAGGAGCGGCCTCTATGACTCTCCCATGTAGGTGCACTGTCCATGTTCTCCATGCTGCCTGAACTGAATAACCTATACCATGACTACATGAGAGCTTCTTTTCCCAAGGGCCCAGTTTGCCTTTGTCCTCTTCCTGGCTAAAGACCTTTACGCTCTGGGCTTTAGGGTATGGGGAAGTTCTTGATTTTTCCCCCCAGTGCTACTCACTGGCTTCATTATAGTAAGAGCCAGTTTCTAGAGGTAAAGAAATTCTGCTACTCAAAACCACCCATTTCTGCCAGGGAAGCCGACAGTTCCACCTAGGAAACCAGGCTGTGCTCTATTCCCAGGAGGCCATGGCTGGGGATTCCGTGAGGATGTGGGCCGCAGGAGCTGACCTCTTCATACTTGCGGTCGGCATCTTCAGCAATGTGCTTGGCCTCTTTCAGTTGGATCTCCTGAATTTCCATCTTCTCTTCATCCTTTTGGGCTCGGCTCTCAATGACTTTCATGCCCCTGGAAAGATAGACAAGCAGGAAAACTTGAAATGTAGAGCTGACCTCCTGAAACCCACTTCTGCTGTGGTCCCTGAGGCTTTGTGCACACAGAAGACCAAAATAGAGCACAGAGCCACTTTTTCAAAGTACCAAGCACAACTTTTCCAGCTGAAGGTAGAAAAAAAAACCTATACATTTCTCTCTGTTCACTATGAATGAAATCTTTGGGTGCGCTTGGATACTGAATCAGTCCATGCACCCCAAGAAACTATTTTATTTGTTAAATGTATACCAAGGGTTCCCCTCCCCTTCTTTGAGGAAAGCCTCATCTTGAAAATGGATGAGTGCTACAACAAAATAAACTCTTTCTCTAAATAAGGGTCTGGAGAGGCTGGACTGGTGCTGCTTCTACACTGTGTATCAGGGTTTTATGGCATAATATATTTCAAAAAATGTTATCTGATCTATATTTTACAGATTTATAGTCTAAGTCATCCTTAAATATGCTGAATCTTCCCCAAAATTTAAGTAGGTGATTTAAATAAAGCACTGTATCTTTTTTTTTTTTT